TTGGCAACTCAATGTAGCTAGTAGTTTTTCAAGAGTTAAGAAAGGTCTTACTAAAGCCTATATTGTGGATCGTTCTAAACTCAAACGTAATGGTTTCTCCTCTTATGATATTAAATCATATATTGATTCGATTTCATCACATGATGAATATACCTATAATTTAACCACTGCTGTACTGGTTATTGGTTTCAGACTTCTAGCAAGACCTGGTGATCTTTGCGATCTCTCTTGGTCTTCTGTGAAACCAAATGATCCAAAGAAAAATTGGTTTACATTTGATCTATCAGGCCACAAAACTGATTTTTTCATGATTGACGATCCAACCCCAATCGAACCTTACTGTGGTGAAAAGAAATACTGTCCATCCTTTATACTTAATAGATATATGAAGATGGTCTCTCACTTCAAGTCTCCTGACTCACCATTATTCTCATGGGCAGACGATTTGTACCTAGATACAATTGACCTTTCTAATATTATTAAGACTGCTATGTCTTCTATTGGTGTCTTTCATACTTCTGGCCACAGTGCAAGAATTGGTGCAGCTACTAAACTCACTTCTAAAGGAATTTCAGAAGTTATTATTAAAACAGCAGGTTATTGGATGCCAGGTTCCAGATCTAGAAAGCATTATCAAAGTAGAATAGGTCTTGCTTATCAAGGTTTAACTACTACTATGCTTAAATAATCTCGGGACCTTACCCATTAGTATAATTACTTGTTCTCAATCTTGTTTTTATTAATTTGCAATGTAACATGTCTAATTCTGAGCGAAAAAAGTAGCTATGAAACAAGCCAATCCGTTTTTCTTTTTGTGGGAATCGATATCACATTTCTTAAGATTATCAGAAAATTTGACAAAAGGAGCCAAATACATAAGTGCAACATCACTTTGTGTATATTACAATGAAATTGGTGATGAAGGAGCCAAACATATAAGTGAAATGAAACAGTTGATATCACTCGATATTGGTAACAATTTAATTAGTGATGAAGGAGTTAAATATATCAGTGAAATGAAACAATTGATATCACTAAGAAAATAAGTTGTCCCATATCTTAAAATATTCTAAATTGAAATGCAACCATAAGAGTTGATATTTCAGAAATTAAGGGCCACTAATTCACACAATTTTCACTTTGACTCTGTAATTTGTTATTTTTCTTTACAACATGTTTCGACCTTGAACTCGAAAGAAGTTTAATTTATTTTTAACTCTAAAAAAAAAAAACACAACAAACAACACGACAGTAGCCACACCAACAAACAACAATGGCAATAATGTATGGAGGATTGGCAAGAAGTGGTAAAGTCAAATATCAAACACCACGTGTAGAAAAGACCAGCGATTCATCCTATCACGGAGGTTGCGCCAAATACAAAATCAAATCATCAAATAATTTATCATATTCGGGAGGTGCTCATCGGTTGGAGAAGAATTTTACTGAAGAGTTGAAAGTCTATGATCAATACAAGGAAAATCATCAACGATGTGATTGGGTGGAGGAGAGAGCGAATATAAAGAGATCAGAACCTGTTCTTTTGAATTCCTTTCACAAGTTTAATACTGAGAAGGGTTTTAACAAGATGGAATGGAATTCAATGAAAAAGGAGGAGAATATCTTGAAGAATAGATACAATTATAATCCAAATGCAAAGAATCATAAAAAGTGGCATAGAAATCATCCTAAAGATGGTTTATCAAAAG